ATTCTGATGAAGAAGATAATATTCCTGGTCTATATTGTGATGATAGTGACGTTGAATTTGAGACTGAACTCAGTGACATTGAAATTGACAGTGACAATGAAACTGTTCAAGTACGTTCTGATGCACGTGGGGTCAAGGACAAAGACTTGCCGAAACGAAAAAAAAAGTTTACTGATGCAAAACATGCGTATTTTTTCATTGCATCGGGTCCGGCAGTGATAACTGTTTTGAAAGTTATCACACAATAGTGGACTTCTGGTGTTGAACTAGTATGGCCAGATATAAAAAAAAAAACAATTACTAAATGTAAATTGGTTTCTTCTATGTTTTATAAAAACAATAATTATACGTTCGTTTTATATACATTGTTCTGTTCAAACATTGTAAAAAAAAAACAAAGAATTTCAGAATCTTGCTGCATTGTTGTTTGATCCTGAATCTGGATACCAAATTTGGCTTGATTATCTCAAACGGTTCAAAAGTTATAGGCAAAGTTAGAAGCAAATAAGTGAAAATCGGTTTGGGCCTGGGAGCTCAGGAAATAGGAGAAATTAGGTCAGGGAGGCCAGGGCTCAAAGGGTTATAGTGATGTATAGTATTTATTTTCTACTTTTTAGTTCAATCAGAAAACGTGGGTTTTTAAAACCTTTTTTTAATGATAATTATTTTTAATACTGCTATTGAATTGTTAAATCGTGTATTTAGTACAAAGGGTTTGTAAGAAAACTCAAAAAAAGAGACATGCTAACTTTGACAGTTAGATAGATTGGAATAATTAAACTTCGTAAACTTATAAGAAGCTGTTTTATGATATAAAAAAATAGTAATGTGAATTGTGCAGAATGGTAGCGTGCGAAGTTTTTATTTATTTGTTTATAATTTATTAAAGTCCTCCTATCTAGAATGATAATAACAAATACTATATGTTTTTGCAAAATAAACACGGTTATAAAATTGCATTCTAAAACGACGCGATTCCGGCTACTGTGACCTACTTAGGTGTTTCTTTCATTATATAATTTAGTTTCTTGGTTTAGGTAATCGACCTTGAGAGAGTTGTACAATCACCTGAACTTCTCCGCCACGTCATGTGATGAGATTTTAATTGGTTGTTTCGAACCTTAGTAAATCCTCGACAATGGTCTTTCGACATTGAAGTAACCTCCCTTGGTTTTGATCTTGTTTAAAAACCCCTGAACACGAAAACTCAAAGCAGCTTTTGACACTAGATCTAGATCTCTCTCTCTAGAGAGAGTGCCTTGTGTGCAGTGTTTCTTCCAGACTTTTTTCTCCGGGGGGGGCACTTGAAATCTTCGGGGGGGGCGGTAAACTTTCTTCGGGGGGGGGCGGACACTGTTAAAAGTATATATTTTCTATATAAATTATATAAATTTCATTTCGTTCGGGGGGGGGGGCGGTAAAAAGTTTTCGGGGGGGGGGGGCTTCGCCCCCCCGAAGAGATGCCTGGAAGAAACTCTGCTTGTGTGTGTGACGCCATTTTGTGTTGCTTATTTTATAGCGGCATTTTTTCCCTATTATAGTTATAGTGTTTATTCCCCTAGATCAGTTTGACGAGCCCACGTTGTAATTTGTTGTGTTCATACTCTGTCTAGTGGATCTCGATCATTAACTACACATAAACGAACCTGGGGTGTTCGCTAGATCTGCGGCTGTCAGATAGCGATCATAATACTACATTCGGACATAGCCTTCCTCCTACCACTAGCATTAGCCCTAACCTTAATATTATTTAAAATTTAGGATTGTTTTTAATACTGGTAGGCTATTAGGTTCGGTGTCAATTTGTAATCGATATGAGGAAATGTCTAACTCCAATTTTGGAACAGTAAGTATGTGACAATGATGTGCAAGAGTTTGTCTACCTTGGCAGCAAGATCAGCAAAACGGGAGGCACAGAGGAGGACATACGCGCTAGAGTTAATAGAGCCCGCTGCGCTTTCACAGTCCTGCGACCCATATGGAAAATTTCGGCCATCTCCATTACCACAAAAATTAGGATATTTAACTCTAATGTCAAGGCAGTTCTGCTGTATGGAGCAGAGACATGGAGAGTCTCCAAGGCAAGCACAGCAAAGATACAGACCTTCATGAATAGATGCCTTAGACAGATACTGAAACTGAGATGGCAGGACAAAGTGCCGAACTTGGAACTATGGAGGAAAGCTAGGCAGGAGCCTATAGGTGTGCAAACAAGAAGGAGGAAGTGGCGCTGGGTGGGTCACACACTGCGAAAGGCTCACACAAATGTTACACGCCAAGCGCTTGAGTGGAACCCCCAGGGAAAGCGGAAGAGAGGGCGCCCAAGACAGACCTGGAGGCGGAGTCTTCTTGAAGAACTGAAGCCAATAGGGATGTCTTGGGAGATGTCAAAAATTAATAGCCGAAGATAGGAAGAAATGGAAGGAAATGGTGGAGGCCCTATGCTCCATAAGGAGCAAAGAGGACTAAGTCAAGTAAGTCAAGTATGTGACAAGAGAGTAATTGCCTGGTTATGTAATGTCGGGGAAAATATCGGAGGGTAATTGTCGGGGGGGGGGGTAGGGAGTCATGTCCTGCTTTACAGCTTTACAGGACTCTACAGAATATAATTTATGTATAGGCCTCTAATTAAACCTATAACAAATCCTTTTTATATTGTTACTTGAGCTACCCGAAAAAAAATCGTGGGTCTATTTCTAAATATTATTAAAGGTAGCCAATAGATAATAAAGTGACCCACGCTTTTCCTTATTGTTATTACACATTTAAAGAAAATCATTTATTTTTTTACTTTTAGTGCATTATTACATAAAAGCTTTCTAACTTTGTTAATGAATTTTTTTACAAGCTTTCTCTGCCAGTCTGTCGTCAGTCTGTCGACAATCTTTCTGTCGACATAGATCGAAACGGGCGAGCAAAATTTTGGGCACTTTTAACTGTCAGATTCGTTTCAAGTCTTCACGCATCTGACTTACGATTAGGATAGTACTTGAATCCGTCAATATTAGCGACCAGACTAAAATGTCTGATATAGGGCGGGCTCAAGGGTTTGCTACAAACACAGGTTTAGAATTTGTACGTACTAGACTACCTGTTATCTAGTTAGATAACTGTGGGTTTCTGGTGCAATCCACAAAAACTGGTTACTGGCTTGTCTAGTAGTCTGGATTCTTTTCATACAACTAAAGTACTTCCATTAAATAAAAAGATAATATATATTAAATCAATTTTCTTATATAAAATATTCCACGAAACAGCCCCCTGTTACTCATCAGATCTATTTTCTTTTAACATAAAATTAAATCGTCGTCTTAATTTACCATACCCATATTCAACTTTTTTCCAAAAACATAGCTTCGCCTACTCTGGTTCTAATTTGTGGAACAATCTTCCTAATAAAATAAAGCTATCTAGATCTGAAAATATATTCAAATCTAAACTAAAACTAAAATTATTTAATGACCTAACTGACTCATTGTAACATTTCTCATTCATCTATTATATTCTCTTTTTTATCCCATTATGTATGATAACTATGTAACATTGTTTCTTTGTTTCTTTATTCCACATTTTTAGTGCTATGTTACTGCTATGTGTTATTGAATTCTTTTATTTGTTTAAACGGCCAATGTGAAAAAAGGCCTTTGTGCCTACAATTGTAACCGTTGTTTGAATAAATTTGAAAATTTGTCACTTATCATCATAAAATAACCATACCTCACATTAAAAAGACGTAAATTGAAAAGAAAAATTACATTGAAATGATTTGTCTACCAGCATGAATTTATATAAAATAATGAAGGTCTCAAATAGTTTAGTATAGAAACTCATTATTATCTAGATAGAGTTATCTCGATTCTAGATTCTACGACTGGTTTGGTTATGTCGAGATTATGCCGCAACTCTAGACTCTACATTCTAGCTAGATCTAGATGGATAAATCACTTGTATTAATGAAAAAGATGATCGGTGATTCTTCCTTTAGTTTGTATGATCTACAAATGCGATCACTGTTTCTTTCAGTAGAGTTGCTTTGCAAGAAACTCTAAATGCGACTTTTGTCATGAATGAGATTAGGTGCATGGTTTAGGAATATGCCTATGACTATATTTTGTATAATTTAAAGTACCGAGAAAATAGACAGCACTATCAACCTAGCGCCCGTTTTATCCTTCCTCAACGGGCAACTTTTCTCGTCTAGATAGAGTTATCTCGATTCTAGATTCTACGACTGGTTTGGTTAAGTCGAGATTTTGCCGTAACTCTAGACTCTACACTCTAGCTAGATCTAGATGGATAAATCACTTGTATTAACGAAAAAGTTGATCGGTGAAGCTAAAAAGCAAAGATTTATGTCAACTATTTAAGAACTAAAGTAGTTTAATAAAGAAACTCAATAATGTATTCTGATTTTAAAAAGCTTTTTAATTCTAAATAATTAATTTTGGTTTGACCTAGATTCTAGATCTATAAATAACTTCATTCAAGATCTAGATGTCTAGAGAGTTTATTGTATACTAAAATAAAAAGAACTGTTGAAAATTAATATAGTGTTGGAACGTAATAAAAATAGCAAACGGACATATCGCCAAAGCTATTGCCGACAGAAAATTAGCTTTATAATGCGTTACAATTTCGAATGGGCAGCAAAATATTCAATGGAAGCCGCCATTGTTGTTGAAAAAGTAAACTAATCATGTGACGTCACTATTCACTATACGTAAAGTCATTGTTCCGAACTATTATAATTAGTGTGGTTAATCTACCAATAAATAAATCAATACATTAATTAACGTCACTAAATAAATTTGTGATTAATAAAAATTGTTCTCTACTATTTATAGCTCTACGCATAGTGCAGATTCTCTCCTGTAACCGAACGCTCTAACAAAAAATAAATAAAAAATAAATACTCAAACATGTAAATAAACTTGAGTTTTAGTAGTATATAGATATGTTGATAGATATGCCATTACATTAAAAATTACATGAGCACTTACTACAGTTCTGTTCATCCTCGTTGAAAGAACAATGTTTTATGCTGTCACATACACGATCTTTTGATACACATTGAGTACCCGTGATAGGGCAATGGAATGCGTCACCGACACAGGTTGCTGATCATAGATAGACAACAATGCAGCAAGATTCTCAAATTCTTTATTTTTTGTTACAATGTTTGAACAGTACAATGTATATAAAACGAACACATAATTATTGTTTTGATAGAACATAGAAGAAACCAATTTACATTTAGTAATTGTTTTTTTTATTATTGATACCTAGCCATACTAGTTCATCGCCAGAAGTCCACTTTTGTGTGATAACTTTCAAAACAGTTATCACTGCCGGACCTGATGCAAAGAAAAACTTCGCAAGTTTTGCACCAGTAAACAGGTTTTTTTTCGTTTCGGCAAGTCTTTGTCCTTGGCACCACGTGCATCATAACGTACTAGAACAGTTTCATTGTCACTGTCAATTTCAATGTCACTGAGTTAAGTCTCATATTCAACGTCACTGTCATCATAATATAGACCAGGAATATTATCTTCTTCATCAGAATCAATAAGTAGTTGTATTGCCTGAGATGCAGTCATTCTACTTCTATTGTTGATGTTTCGGTCTTTTGCTTTATCTTTTGCACCAACGTTATGTGCTGAAGTCGACGGCTGTGGCTCGGCTTTCCGTTTCGGAGGCATTGTTACGAAATGTTAGGCCTAACACTTTCACTTTTCCTAAAATCTTTTTTTAGAATCATAATCCCGCACTAAAAAGGCATATGCGCAGTTTTAGTCAGTCTTCCGCTAATTATATTTAATTAGACCGTAGATCGGTCGCTAGGAATATGACGCTAGATCATCGGGCCGGAAAACCGGCTTTTCGGACATATATGCCTAATGTTGAAGCCGGTTTACCGGCCTGGCGGGCTCAAAGGGTTAATATTTTACTTTATATAAATCTTTGTTTGTTTAGCTATGGAATAGGCTAATTTGGGATAATATTAAAGTTGAAATGCTAGATCTAGGGCCTATTTGCGTAACTTAAGTTTCATACAAGGATTCTATAGCGCTAAATTTGCTTACAATTGTAACTTTCCAGATAGGTGAGTTGACAGTGTAAACGCTAACCGTAAGTGTGGTCCTGGTTCGTAAAACATCTTGTAAATATTAATTATTATTTTTGGTAATTTTTTTATAGATGTGAATGATAAAGTTTTCTATCGGGACTTGGCATGACACGGGGCAGGTGAAGTAGAATTCACCTGTTTCTGTGTTCTTGACATATGAAGGGATAGTGTGGTCAGAGCCATGCTCGGCCGGAATAGTTTTTTTTTAAAGCAATAAAAACATTTTTTGAGATACACGTCTTTTAAAATGTAAAAAAAGTAAAAAAGGCCTAAATTATTTAAACAACAACATACAAATAAAATGAATTAAACCAAACAAAGAAACAACAATTAAACAAATAAACAACTATAAAATTTAAAATTAAAAAAATAAAATTTAAAAATTTAATTTTTTTTTAAATTTAAAATTTAAATTTAAAAAATCAAACTAATTAAAAAATCAAATTTAAATTAAAAGATAATAATTAAACTAATTAAAAAAATAAACAAAACAAAATATAAACAAAGGAATTAAATTAAAAATAAAAATTAAAATTACATAAAAATTAATAAAAACATACAAAGAAATAAAATGAATTTAACCTAATAAATAAACAACAATTAAACAAATAAACAAAAAAAATTAAATTTAAAAATAAAATTTAAAAATTTAAAAATTTAAAAATTATTTTTTTTTAAATTTAAAATTTAAATTTAAAAAATTTAAAATAAAAAATAATAATTAAACTAATTAAAAATTAACAAACAAAATATAAACAAAGTAATTAAATTAAAATTTAAAATTAAAATTTAAAAAATTTAAAAATTAAACTAATAAAAAATAAAAAATTAAAATCAAACAAATAATCAAACTACGTAACTAGTCAATAAAAACATACTCATTAAAAACAACACACAAATAAAAAACTCATTAAAACTCATTAAAAACTTATAAAATTTACGTTACTAGGTCACCGCTGGTGATTACGTCACAAGGTCACCAATGGTTATTATGTCACATGGTCACTGGTGGTGACCTACTGACCTACTCCGCATCCGCATCCCCCACCCTCACCCACCCGCTCACCCACTCACCCAGGCGGGTGAGTATTTTCCTATACCTCGTTGTACCTGCGGCGCTTGCGCATCCGCATCCGCGTCCGAGTATTTTACTATATATCCTTTATTCCGCATCCGCATCCGCATCAGCTTCACCCATGCTAACCAAAAGGGACCTAATATACTACTTGAGCATGGGTCTGACCAAACTATCCCCTCATATACTGACGTCGCAGGTTACCTACCCAACTCTACTTCACCTGCCCAGTGTCCCGCCAAGTATCAGACAACATGTTTTTATTGCTTTAAAAACGATTCCGGCCGAGGACACTATCCCTTCATATGCTGAGATCACAGAAACAGTCGAACTCTACTTCAACTGCCCTGTATCCCGCCAAGCTCCAATAGGCAATTTTATCAATCACATCTAAAAAAAATGTAAAAAATCAAAAATTGACATGTGTCTCGAACCCGTACCACTCGCATGGTATAACCTTATACACTTATGTCTTAGCTATATAGGCTCGTGGGATTAGGGACGTAAATACTGATATATTTTACTTTTATTCTCGATCTATAGCTTTTCCCCTTCGACAGCTGACCTTTGATCTAGACAAATTTATTGTATACTTAAATGAAAAGGACTGTTGAAAATTGATAATTGAACGTCATAAAATTAGTAAACGGAGTATCGTTAAGCTATAGCCGACAGAAAATTAGTTTTGGAATGCTTTAAACGTTTGAATTGGCACTAAAATATTCAATGGAAGCCGCCATTATTGTGGTAAAAATTAGATAAATCATGTGACGACACTATTCGCTATAAGTAAAGTCACTGTTCTGAACTTTTATAATTAATGTGGTTAATCTACCAATAAATAAATTAATTAATTAATGAAGGTCTTTAAATAAATTTGTCTAAAAACAAAAATTGTTCTCTACCTAAATACTATTTTACAGCTCTACACATAGTTCAGATACTCTCCTGTAACGAAACGGACAAACAAACAAATGAATATTCAAACATGTAAACAAACTTGAGTTTTAGTAGTATACTAGACTACCCGTTATCTAGTTAGATAAGTGTGGGTTTCTTGGGTCAGCCATAAATGACATCACGTCTGTCATCATCACAAAATAACCAGACCCCACATTCAAAAAGACGTAGATTGAAAAAAAATAACATTGACATGATGTCTAGAACACGTGCCACCCGCATGGAAGCCAAATACGCTATCACCTTAGCTACCTAGGCTCGTGACGTCATGACACTTTTAATGATTCATATAAAAAGTTTGAGTCTGTTTAGAAACTTGATTTACGTGAGTAGGTCGTAGATCTAGTATCTTTCAAATTAAACTTTATCTTAAATTAGCCAATTCCATAGCTTAACAAAGATTTATATAAAATAATGAAGGTCTCAAATACTTTAGTATAGAAACTCATTATTATCTAGATAGAGTTATCTAGATTCTAGATTCTATGACTGATTTGGTTAAGTCGAGATTTTGCCGTAACTCTAGACTCTAGCTAGATCTAGAGGAATAAATCACTAGTATTATTGAATTAGATTATCCGTGAAGCTAAAAAGCAAAGATTTATATCAAATATTTAAGGACTAAAGTAGTTTAATAAAGAAACTCAGTAATTTATTCTGATTAATTTTCATTTGCCCTAGATTCTAGATCTATAAAGAACGTCATTCGACAGCTAATATCTAGATTCTTGATCTAGATGTCTAGAGAAATGTATTGTATACTAAAAAAAAGAACTGCTGAAAATTGATATTAGTGTTGGAACGTAATAAAAATAGCAAACGGACATATCGCTAAAGCTATAGCCGACAGACAATTAGCTTTATAATGCGTTATAATTTCGAATGGGCAGCAAAATATTCAATGGAAGCCGATATTGTTGTTGAAAAAGTAAATAAATCATGTGACGTCACTATTCACAATAAGTAAAGTCATTGTTCTGAATTTTTATAATTAGTGTGGTTAATCTCAGGGGCGTAGCGAGGGGGGGGGCGGGGGGTGCGGACCGCACCGGGTGACACCATTTAGGGGGGTGACACCAAGGCAAAAAATAGCAAAATATATAGAGAAAAACTCGAGGGGGGGGGGGGTGCAAATCGAAAGTTTGAGGGGGGGGGGGTGCAAATCGAAAGTTTGAGGGGGGGGGGGGTGCAAATCGAAAATTTGAAAGTTTGTCCCTGGGAAGGGTCTCTATGCCTCTGGGGGGGGGGGGTGACACCATTAAGTGCCGCACCGAGTGACACCCGACCTCGCTACGCCACTGGTTAATCTACCAATGAATAAATCAATACATTAATTAACGTCTTTAAATAAATTTGTGATTAACAAAAATTGTTCTCTGCCTAATTACTATTTATAGCTCCACACATAGTGCAGACTCTCTCCCCTTTTAACCAAACACACAAACAAAAAACATACAAAAACATAAATACTCAAACATGTAAAAAATAAACTTAAGTTTTAGTAGTACATAGGTAGATGGATAGATATGCCATTGATCAGACTCTCTACATTACATTAAATAAATTACATGAGCACTTACTACAGTTTTTTTCATCCTCCATGTTAAAACAATCTGTTAATCCGTCACATACATGCTTTTTTAATACACATTGAGTACCCGTGATACGACAATGGAATGCGTCACTGACACAGGTTGCTGATCATAGATAGACATTAAAGAAACAATTAATGTCGGTAATTTAATTTCCTATAATTAAAAAAAGAAGATAGTTGCGGAGGGTGGAAAGAGATAGGACTAGGGAGAGGTAGGACAAGGGAAAAGTAGGACAAGGGAAAGGTGGGACAAAGGGAGAGGTGGGACAAGGGAGAGGTGGGACGAGGGAGAGGTGGGACAGTGCATTTTTAAAATACTATCCAAAAAATATACCGTAGGCATTGTTTACATTTAAATATCTTAATATTATATAATATTGGAATCGTTACGCAATGATGAAACCCTCTTAAAATATTACATCAGACTTTATCAGGAGACTCCCGACAACACGCGGGAACGTGCACGCTAGTTATATTATATTTAGTTTTAATTTTTTTAAGTTGTTTCATAGTCTGTTATAAGAAATGCACATACGCAGTTAACTAGGTGTATTTGATATATTTACAATTAAATACACTATAGTAAACAGTATTAACTGCTTTTATTTATTTCATTTTATTGTTGAAAATGTTAGTTTCCATTTTTTGTGGCTTCAAAAAACACACATTTTAATATGCATACCATTTTATAATATTTTTTTTTTTATATTGACTATTTGCATTTTAAATAATTCTAAATTGAAACTTCACTACAGCGCAAAATAAGCTTTAAAATATTATAAATTGCAATCGCAGACTGAGTTTTGTGTTTTTCTATATCATTTATTGCATTTTGTGTAAATCACAATGATACACATCTAGACGAACTTACAGCAGTTGGATTCATCCTGTCGATCTAAACACTCTGCTTCTCCATTACACCTTATGGGAGGTGCATTGCAAAACTTAAAGGGGCATTTGTATTCACTATCATTGCAACCAACTAGTGTAGAAATAAAACACATTCAGTTACTAGCGTTTTAAACTTAGCCATAACATACAATAAAATTGAATGAAACAATTTATGAATGTTGTTATGTTTTTTTTGCACAGAATATAAATTAATATTTGAATCGCGAATGACACATGCTACGACGTTTTGAAAACAATGAAACATAAAAAAATATATTATTTGCAAAACGTATAACTGTTTTATTGTGTACAAATGTATTACACTTTTATGTGCTCTATAAAACGACTACAGCACACTTTAATGCCAGAATTAGACTTAAACGGGTTTGCCGATTAAATAATCCAAGTTGAAAAATGATTATGAAAATGCATTATGATTTAGAAACAAAACACGCGATGCAGTTATTTATTAAACACATATTTCATATACCCCTCGAAAACCGTTACTTACTACAAGGGTATTCATCCTCGCCTTCGGCGCAGTCCTTTTTGCCATTACAAGTCAAATCAAATGAGATATTAGTACCATTGTTACACGTGTAACTGTCTATAGAACGTATAGCTGGGTAAATGAAACGGAAAATTGTATTATTTAATTATCACAATAATTCCGCATTTACAAAATTAATATAATGCTCTCTCTGCCCCCCCCCCCCCACCCCTCTCTCTCTCTTCCATGAGATTTTACTAACTCAATGTTTTGCTCATTAGCCAGCCATACTGCGATAGCATTAAGTATCACTGGTGTTAACAGGTCTTAGAAAATAATTTCCGCAAGGTTTTTACTTCCTCCCCTTCTTTAAGAGCAGTTCGCACGACCTACAAAGCATGCATCAAATATGATTTTAAAAGTAACTTACGTTGTTGTCTCTTGTAGATTGTTTCATCTAACATGTGTATGGCTCTGTGTTGGTATTCCAGGTCTGTCTCGCATTCCACCACATCAAACATCAAGACAATAAATGGTACGCAATATTTCCAAGCAGACATTTTGTTTTTGTTTTCAAATTTCATTCTTCAAAGAACTGGAAAATCAAACGATATTTTATACAAAGTCGTATTAAATTTTACAACCTATATTTGAAATGTTATCTAGAAACAAACCCAACCACAAACACAAAGAAAACACAAACACAAAGAAAAAAGCAAATGAAAACAAACCAAATCCAAACACAAACCCACCACAAACGCAAATCCAACCCCAACTCAAATACAAAGAATAAACAACCGCAAATATAAACGCAAAGTGATCACAATCTAACCCGTGGCACCAAATCGCACCATGCTGGGGCGCCGGTGGAACCGCTTGTTTCAGCTTAGTAAACGACTTTAGTATTTCAACGTAACCATACGCTATTGCAGTCACTTAAACAAGCGTAGGCGCCATAGCGAACACGGGAAGGCCCGGAGCGCCAATTAATATCCTGTCGGGGTGCCGAAGGACGCCTGGATTTGATTCACTTAAAGACTATAGTCTATTGCAATGTTTAAGGCGAAATTATGCACCGAAACGCTCACATGATATGAACATTTAGGAGCTGGCTTATTAACTGTCATAGATTTTTAAAAAATTAGTAAACAGTACTTTTTAGTGTTTAGAACAAATAAAACGCAGTATTAAAAATACTTGACATTGTACTTGATCAATCCCCGCTAACTGTGTAATCATTTTTTTCCCAACACCAAAACCAAGAAATAAAGAGTATATTCTTTCCCACCTGATGTAATGTTTTTTTTTAAAATGGGAAGTAATTGTGTTTTCCTAATATATCGAGGGAAGTAATAAGTGCTATGGGAATAAATGTAAATAATTTTCAGACATTATTATCATTTTTGTAAAAAATGATATTGTTAAAAAAATGTTAAATGAACATGCCGACCATTATTAGTATAAGTTTGAAAAATGAAAATTGTTTTACAATACTTTCATTATTAATTTTTTAATCATGAATTTAGATATTTAACACTTGACGCTAAAGAAGTATTATTTTTTATTATATACCTTTGTAACCCTTGGTTACATACAAACATAGAGAATTGAACTTAACATATTAGATAGGCCCCTACCTCAATTTAAAAAATTCTGCGAGAAAAAAAAATTACAAAATAGATTTTACTGATCAGAACATTATGTGCAAAGAAAAGGTATAGTTTTGCTCATTCGTTCCGTATTTTAACACGTTTTTATTAACTCAGCTTCGCGTGGATGTGTTTGTTGTTAAAATTGACATCGAAAATTAGCCCACTTCTGATTGCTCTATAGATCTGAAATTTGGCATGCAGGTTACTTTCGCCTAACAATTTCAGATGCAATCATAAAAACTAGCAATTAGAGACCGTAATTAGCTTAATTTAATTACGCCCCAAGGACCATAAAATTGAGGACATGATTTCTAAAGATACCGACAAGACTGTAGGCTTATTGACACAGTTACTTCGGCCCCAATCGATGTGAGCGCGCTGGCCGTGATCGTATAGTGGTTAGTACTTCGCGTTGTGGCCGCGACAACCCAGGTTCGAATCCTGGTCGCTCAAGATTTTTTTAGTCCGTGTATTTAAAAACACTTAGTCAATTCATACTTAATCAAGTCATTAGATAAAGTAGAAAATAAACTATATAAAAAACTTTTTTAAAAACCACGTTTTTCATGTGTAGATACGGACTAAAAAGGAGAAAATAAAATACTTAAAAAAAACTTTTTAAAAAACCACGTTTTTCTTGTGGACTAAAAAGTAGAAAATAACTATTTACATACATTTGATGACAAAAAACGTGGGTCGGGCAGATGGGTCGGGAAATTTGATGGTGAACGTACCCACGTTTTTTGTCATCAAATGTATGTAAATAGTTATTTTCTACTTTTTAGTCCACAAGAAAAACGTGGTTTTTTAAAAAGTTTTTTTTAAGTATTTTATTCTCTATTAATATATGACATGTTAGGTAAAAATTCACAGACCATTATATTTTTATATTAACCTAAAAGATATTTTGTCATTTTTTTTTATTTCCGGCTTATTGTAAACAATAAAAATGAGAATGGTAAGCTATAATTATTCGAAAATTAATTTTTTAAGATTTATTGTAATATTATTTAAAATGTAGATTATCTTGCTGCCAAAATAAATAATCCCAATCCTACTGGAAGAGAATTTGTGAATCAAGTTATTTTTGAACTAAAGAACACAAGTTGAACTTTAATGGCATTTAGAATTACATAGTAGCTTGTTATTTTTACACTTGCAGCGATTTGTTGTGCATTTGGTTGTGCAATTTCAGCAAATGTATTCGCCGGTTAGTGATTGTGAAGATGCGATGGTTCGTAGTGCTTTTTCCTCAGTGCCAAAGGACGACAATGAGAGCAGTTTTTCGTGAAGAATTGAAAACTCACTTCTAGCATATAGTTGTTTTAGAACACCATGTTCCGTTCCAAGATTGTAGAAAGCGCCCTCAGTAACTAAATTATCGAGAGCTTCTCTTGGTAGATATGAAGTGCTAAGTCCCACTTTTGTTTTGCACCCAAACAAGGCTTCGTATGGTGATTGTTGGATTACTTTATGAAAAGAACGGTTTTTACAAGCTTTTATTTAACTTGCTTCCTCGTCAGTCTGTCTGTCTGTCTGTCTAGATCGAAACGGCCGTGTGAATTTGCAGGCACTTCTAACTAACAGATACGGTTCTTAATTGGTACGTGGGTCAAGACATGAAGACAATGCATCATGACATTCAATTTGACTTAATTGGTCGCATAATTATTTTTTAATGAATTAATTAAAATTTGGACCGAATTAGTAAGCAGTTCTTTCCACATGCCTCATCACGGCCGTTTTGGGCGTTGAGCGAGGGGGACTCTACGTCAAAAGCGCGTCATCACGTTCAATAGGCGCGCGATGATTTTTAGTCGGGTCAGCAGTCTAGTTCTTTTCCACTAGACTGCGCCATCCCATAATACTTTACTGAAACTTTAGCTATAATAAAACATGTAAAGTACTGAAAAAATTCTTAAAAAATTTTTAATGACAAGCTTTTATGTAATAATGCACTAAAAAGTAGAAAATAAATTAATTATACACTATTATTTAAATAACTATAAAGAAAAGCGTGGGTCTCCTCAAATATTAGTAAAGGTATTCAATAAGTACTTAAGTGACCCACGCTTTTCTTTATAGTTATTTAAATCGTAGTGAATAATTTATTTTCTACTTTTTAGTGCATTATTACATACAAGCTTGTTATTAAAAGTTTTTTTATGAATTTTTTTCATAAATTGAAGGAATATGAGACTCTCAGCCCAATGAGCTGATCCATTTGTCTGCATCCATGTCATCATCATGTTTTGAACATCTTGGTTGGCACGTTCTTCTGAACCTTGGCTTTGGCTATGCCTTGGATTTCCGTGAACTAGTTTAGGTTCAGGCCACATGTTCTTTCAGAGGCGTAGCAAGGGGGGGGGGGCGGCGGCGGGGGTACATATGTCCCCGGGCGCCGACTAAAAGTGCGCCACGATGGGTTGGAAAAACAAATTAAAATCTCATTTTAGCTGCAGCTTTGCATTATAAATATAAAAACTATATAGCAAGGGGGGGGGGGGGGGTGCAAATGGAAAGTTTGAGGGGGGGGGGGGTGTTGCAAATTGAAAATTGATAGGTTGTTCCCGGGCGCCAGGAGGGTCGCTACGCCTCTGTGTTCTTTAGTTCAAAAGTAACTTGATTCACAAATTCTCTTCCATTAGGATTTGGATTATTTATTTTGGCAGCCATCTGGTACGTCTGTCTTTTGGTCTGACGGCCCTTTTGGTCCATGTCGCATCGCATATAGAATGATATACAATCAATACGATACTCACAATGAAACCGCACCCAGAGTAAATAAAACGCGATCACAACTTAGTCTAGATAGGACATCCCGGCCAGTGCGCGCATTGGCTGGCCAATGGATGAAATACTTTGTCAATTTTAAACTTTTCGGACTTTGGCCATCCCGTCCCGACCAGTGCGCGCATTGGCCGGCCAGTGTAGGAAATACGTTGTCAAATTAAAGGTCTCCGGACTTTGGCCAGTTCGTCTCGGCCAAAGTCCGAAGCGTTTAAACTTGACAACGTATTATGTACATTGGCCGGCAGATGCGCGCACTGGCCGGGATGTTCTGGCCAATGTTCTATCTAGACTAAGTTGTGATCGCGTTTCCATTATTATGGGTGCGGTTTCATTGTGAGTAACGTATTGAGACAGACATAGCAGATGGCTGTCAAAAGAAAAATGTAAATCCATGTTAATTTCCATATATGGGCTACAACTGTATGTGACAGCCTCCTCCATGATGACGAGGTGAGACAATCATCACAGAACAAAATCAAAGACAGTTGGCGTCTCCGACCACGTTCAACAACACGGAACGTTGAAAAGACTTTGCCGCGTTCGATGCTACCCTTAAACAATAGTGTCTAAGAGACTTGAGATAGCGTGGGTGGCAGAAACCATAATTCTATGTAATTCTAAATGCCATAAAAGTTCAACTTGTTGTAACAATTGATAATAATGATTGATTGAGACTATAGTACAATAAAAAATGTGAATGTTTCTGTCACTTTCTTTATTGAATAATCAATAAAGACTTAATTTCACGCTCCTTACGGTATAAAAAAACAACAACAAAATCTGCTCATGATCTTCTAATTCGGACTCTGGCCGGTCGTCACTAGCCAGATGATTTTCTAATTCAGACTTTGGCCAGTCCACCATAGGCCGAAATCAACCAAAGTTTCGGACTTTGACCGAGGGAGGCGATATTGGCCAATACACGTATTGGCGACTTCGGGCTTTGACCGTAATATATATAAATATATATATATATAATATATATATATATATATATATATATATATATATATATATATATATATATATATATATATATATATATATATAAATATATATATATATATATATAAATATATATATATATATATATATATATATATATATATATATATATATATATAAATCCACTGTGAACAATTTTCTCATATACCTAAATAAATGGCTCAATAGTCAGGCAATTAAGGGATTGCGCCTTGTAAATAAAGGCATAAAGCCTGAACAACCAGTTGAGAAGAACCAGATATTGCTCTCGTTACACTTTTCTATTGGGCCCAGTTGCGACGCATTTATTACTAAACTTGGAGTATGTTGTGTCGCCGAACTAGATTTGGCAATCCTGACGCATATTATAGAGCAACCATACACTCAATTTCATCTTAATATCCACAAAAATACGTGATACTTAATTGGTAATTGAGTATTTGAAAAACTGACTGCATATACATTTAAAAAGAGCTGCAAATTATTTACTTACAGTAAGTTTCAAATACAGATAACAGATTCTTCAGTTTGGTTAGACACTTTACTAGAACCCAGGTGTCGACAGAACTGATAGCATCAGCTCAATTGCTAGTTGGGGATCCAATGGTAATCTCAACAGCTGTTTGGTTACTTAATTCGTTATTTCAACATACACTGAACACAATGCGTGGGTTGCTCGAGAGCAGTGGCGTAGCAGTTCGGACAAAAAAAATCCGGGGGGGGGGGGGGTTCGCTTATCCAATGTTTTGTGGTAGGTTGGAAGTTGCTGAGAATACTTTTGTGAAGGTTTCTGTGAAAATGAAAATTTCTAATTCGCAGGGGTGGCGCCGCTGTAGGGCCCAATTAGATTAATTTCTATTTAAGGTATATAAAAACAAAAGTCGATTGCGGTTTGACACCGTTCATCCAATTGCCGTGAAACTTTGGGGAGTTGATTAAAACACCCCAGGTGAGGTTTCTGTAAAAAATAATCTTTTGTAATTTGGCAATGGCGGCGCGCCGGGAGGAAGGGTGCGATTTCTTCAAATTATATAATCAAATTAATTTATTATGAATTTTCAAATTTTGTGTCCGTTCAAAACACTTAATTTAGGGGAACTTAGGGGCATTAAAACTAGTGTTTTTAATGGACCCACAATATAAAAATTCTTTAAAAATTAGTTTGAAAACATGCATTTACATTTTTTAGCTTAGTGCCCTAAAATATGGTAGAAGATTATGGGTTCATTGTTTATTGGGCTAGAAATATAATATTTTTTGAATGGTGGAAAATTTACGAAGGAGTTAACTTTTCAAGATGGCCGCCATTGTCATAGTTACCAAGATTGTTCCACCGATTTTTAAAGTGGAAACACATATGCAGATGTACCAGAAAACAGCTATAGAGAAACAATTGATTTCTAAAGAGTATTAAAAATGATTTATTTTACAAGAGCTTACCCCATTAAACATTGCATAAGATATGGTATTAGATTCCTTCAATAAACATATTTAGGTGCGTCCCACGGCGCCCCGGCAGGGAGCGATGTGGCGCTCTGGGCTATTCCTTGAGCGTTATGGCGCCTTTATTGTTTTAAAAGTGCGATAGACTATGGATAAGATCCGATATTCTTGTTTTTCAGTAAATAGCCCCGGGCTATCCTATGAAAACTATGGCGCGTACGTTCGTTTTAAAGAGCACCCTACAATATTGACACACGTCATTCGACGATCAAACCAAGCCAGGAGCCTACGAGGCGCCCCTTAGATATTGTAACTGGGGCTAGCGAGATCGCCCTGTAACGTCCCTGTCACCTAGGCTGTCGTTAAAGTGTGTTTTACCTCACAGTTACGGAGCGTAATTAGCTCAAGGCTTTCATACACCATGCACTGGGGCGTGATGGGCGGTTTTGTAAGTAAAACCGTGCCCCGTAAAATATGTATTTTTGCATTAAGAAAATAATAGTCTAATGCAAAGAAATTGAAAAGAAATTTACAAATATAGCTTACACAGATATGGTATTAATCGTGACCTACTTTCCGATACTGTTTGCTGTTTTTCTCAGTTCGCAGTTTTAACACTAAAAAGCCTACTTCTTTTTTATTTATTAAACAATGCCCACCAATTGTTCTTCATGCAAAAATAAAACTTCTTCACAAGGGAAGAGCGATGACTTTCATAGAAAAAAGTTTATGGTAAATGATATGCACATTTTGAATTTTTTTAAAGTACAGAAAAACTCAAATGGCGAAGGTGTTTTCATGTTTCCTTGACAACCAAAATTGTTTTCAACCCTTTTTTTTTTCTTAGCCGTGATTCGCTATGATATATATATATATATATATATATATATATATATATATATATATATATATATATATATATATATATATATATATATATATATATATATATATATATGTATGTATATATATATATATACATAACCCCCTCAAAATTTTCTCTCTATATTTTGCTATTTTTTGCCTTGAGGTCGCCCCCCTAAATGGTGTCACCCGGTGCGGTCCGCACCCCCCCCTCCCTCGCTACGCCTCTGACTCAGGGCTAAATTAATCAAGCAATATCAAATGTGCAGCTATTGTGCTATTGGTGTCAAACACACACTTACACACAAACACACACACACACACGTATAAATACACACACACACACACACACACACACTCGCAGGCTGTTTAATAACAATGTGCTTGATCGAATGATATATAGATTTGTACATGTCTTATGTGGATTCACGCTAATCTACTTCGGTGGACATTGTTTTTGGTGTCAACCCCCTAACATTTTATCAAATGGCGTCTCGTCGTGTAAACATTATATTGACCGATTTAGGGGCCTAACTAACTGCTGTTCATTCTATTGCAAAAATCGTTGTTTTTGTAATAAATTTTAATATTAGGTATCAGCCTCAACACGGACGTAGATTGACAAGAAAGTTATTAAGATTCTCAACATAACCATATCCCTTTAAAAAAAAAATGCTCTTAAAAGTCTATTCAATTTTTATGAATCGTTTATTTAACTGGAATGATCATTTTTTCTTTATATATTTTGCTATTTTTTGCCCCGGTATCACCCTAAAATAGTGTCACTCGGTGCGGTCCGTATTTCTGCCCCCACCTTGTAACGCCTCTGACTATACGTATTAAACCGTGGTGCAAGTCTTATGATGTATGAACGCACAACAAATCGACCAAATCAATCAATTCCTACATAGTATTGTTTCTGAAAAAAAAATACGAATTCCGATGATTACAAATATTAACAAAGCGATGCACAACCCGGTGCACAAAATTATAATGAACCTGTTTTAACGTTTCTAAATTTTACCTTGTTTAAACTAATATATATATATATATATATATATATATATATATATATATATATATATATATATATATATATATATATATATATATATATATATATATATATATATATATATATATATATATATATAACTATATATATATATATATATATATATATATATATATATATATATATATATATATATATATATATATATATATATATATATATATATATATATACTAGCCGTTTCGGCCAGGCCCTGCACTGGCATGTCTGAAAAACGAATCTGTAAAGGACCATAACTTGTGTGTTTAGTAATCAGCATAAACCCAGCATTGTCCACCCTAATCACAACCAACCAAAACACACAAAAAAACGCAAACATAACACTAACACAAAAACAATACAAACGAAAACACAAAAACGCTAAGACAAACCCAACCACAAACTCAAAGAAAACACAAACACTAAAGCACACAAAAAAGCAAGCGAAAACAAATCCAAACGCAAACACAAACCCAACCACAACCAAACGAAATAAAAACACGCCAAAAAAAAAAACAACGCTAACATAACACAAACACAAATTCAAACACAGACGAAAACACAAAAACAAACACAAACACAAACACAAAGAAAACACAAACGCAAAGAAAAAAATCAAACGAAAACACAAACGCAAAGAAAAAAAGCAAACGAAAACAAACCCAAACCCAAATCCAAACGCAAACACAACCACAAACGCAAATCCATAATCAAACCCAAAGAAAAAACAAACGTAAATATAAACTCAAAGTGTCCACATTCTAGCCCGGGGCGCCAAATCGCACCATGACGACGTGCGGCGTAACCGCCTGATTCAACATAGTAAACGACTATAGTACCCAACTTATTCATAGTCTTTTGAACTCACTTACGCGAACGTAGGTACCATTGCGAATACGGGAAGGCCCGGGGCGCCAAATAGCACCCTGTCGGGATGCCGGAGGATGCCCGGTTTTGATTAACTTAAAGACTATAGGAACTTTTCTTATCCATAGTCTATCGCACTGTTTAAAACGAAATTATGCAGCATAGCGCTCACATGATAGCACAGGGCGCCAAATCGAAACGTGCAGGGGCGCCGGCGGACGCGCCTGTTTCAATTTAGTGAACAAAATTATAATACTCCAAGCTTATCCGTAAATGGAAAGAAATAAACATAAAGGATTTGTAGGACCTGGCTTATTAAATGTTATTGATTAAAAAAAATTAATTAGTAAACAGTATGTTCAGTGAATAGAATAAATAAAATGCAGTATTAAAAATACGAACGACATTGCACTTAATCAATTCCTGTTTTTTTTCCGTTTTTTCTTACATTCCTTTGTAATCCTCGATTACAAACATTTTACAAACATACAGAATTGAACTATATATATATATATATATATATATATATATATATATATATATATATATATATATATATATATAATAAATGTCCCGTTGTGGGAGAAATGCAAAAGGAGTTATGTTGATAAATTTTTCTTTATTTCTAAACTGAAACCAAAACCAAAAGTATTACCTAAATTTACAATTTAACTGGGAACGAAAAATGTCATTGCAAATGGATGTTAATTCGAAATCGGCATTTTAAACGGATGCGAAACAAGGGCGGAACCACGCCATTTAGGGGCCCACATCCGACCATAATATATTTTTTATAGTTACAAAAATTGTTCTTGCATTTTTAATTTGATGGTTGTTTTATAAAAAGATTACGTAGCTGCGGTTGGATTATTTTTATTCTATAGACACCACCCCACGCTATTGTATATTCTTTTTCCCTTTGTTTTTTAAACCACTCTAAAAGCCGAGTCGACTTTATCCTACAATCAAACTTATCAAACATAAGCAAACGCTCAAACCACTTCCATGACTTATTTCCCTTTTCTAAATCGTCAAATAGGGGTACTCATAAGCTCATTTTAATAGATTCGTACTAAACAAATTAAAAAGCAATTAATTTTCTTAATTCTTATTTTTTTAATAAAGTACTTCCTAAAGAACGTCATTTTATGAAAATGAAATGTATGTAAAATTAATATTATAAATATTATAAATACAAAAAAAACTTTAAAAAAAAACTTAAAAATAAACAAAACACGAGACACCATTACTTATACAAAGCTTTCATGTTTTATGTTCTTTTGACAGGACGATATATATATATATATATATATATATATATATATATATATATATATGTGTGTGTGTGTGTGTGTGTGTGTTTGTGTGTGTTTACACTAG